ATAATGTAATAAAAAATAATAATAAAAATCAAAAATGTGATCTAGGACTGTGTTGTATTTACATATTCTCTCCATAATAAAAAAGAATTACGAACAATCTGAAAAAATGTATTATGTCCATTTCTTTTCAGAAGCCACCCTTTGAAACCTCCGGGGATCCAGCACTCTCCCCTGCTTGTGCATTAAATAAGGTCACTGCACTATGGAAAACCTTGATGAGGATCGAATATCTTTCTTGAAGTGACGTGTTTGACTTTTTTGCCTTTTACATTAGAAGGAAATAAAGATTATGTGTTTTGCAATGATTTTGAAATGAACACGAAGAAATTAAATAAATTGTAGCTAGAAAACAGTATGTTAATCCACACTGCCAGCATATCTACAACCCTGCGTTTTATTAATAGTCACTTATATGAATTCAGTGATGAAATCTGTACTTGTCCATGAATGATTCAGTATAGCTTATAGCTTGATCAGCTGAGTGTGGCTTATTTGTATAATTGAATTTAATTTGAAAAATAATTTCGTGAATATCGACATTATGACTGACTTAAGACTTACTGTATATTTTGTAATACAAGTGGTATTCAGTATTAACAACTAGAATGGCATCTATCCTTTTAGAAAAGTTTCATTACTAATTATAAAGTATCAAAGTAATATCGCATTTTAGACCACCCATACAGTGCCATCAGAAAATCTTTGGTCATATTTTTTCCTCATGAAGGAAAGATTGAGATGTAAGAAAGTTGTCTTGCGTGGGAGTGTTGTAATCTTTAGTGCAGAAGGAAATTTCTTTAGATGCAGCATCAATTTTGGTCACAATAAAAATGGACATGAATTATTTTTGGTGTAATTTATTATAAAAATATCTAAGCAGTATCACATATTCGCTCATCCTTGCAGTTTTTCATCTGAGTGTATTCAGAAGGGACACAACGAATGCAAAAATCTAGCAAAGATGTCTGACTCTGAAGGGAAACCCTTAGTACACGGGGTACTTGGGGGGAGCGTGGTAAGGAGCGGGCTTGTAGGCGGGGGTGTACTCGGGGTACTGAGCCTCGCCCTCGTAGCTGACCTCAGCTACGAAACCGTCGCCGTTGTCCACGTACTTGACGGTCTGCTTGCGGCCGTCGGGGAGGTCGACGGAGTAGCTGCCCTCGGTCTTGTAGCCGTCGCGGGACTCCGAGTGGCCGAAGTTGGCACCGGAGTAGCCGTCGGCGACGCCGTAGTTGTAGTTGTACTTCGGGGGAACCTGATTATAGAATATAAAATCAAACCCAACTCATTCGGACAACAATTTCACAAGGACTTTTGCCAGAACTAGACCACGTATACGGTGGGTAAGAATAGAATGAATTACTTACGGTGGGGTACTCTGGCTCCTTGTAGTGGGCAGGGGCATGGTACACGGGTTCGGGAGCGTGGTACGTGGGTGCGGCGTAAACAGGTGGCAGATGGTGCACGGGAGCCTTATCGGCCAGAGCCACTGCGGCCACA